GGTCTTGATCCCAGGACCCTGGGACCATGACCCGAGCCGAAGGCAGACGCTTAACGACTGAGCCACCCAGGCGCCCCTCTCTATTATTTTTTTTAAGATTTTATGTATTATTTGAGAGAGAGAGAGAGAGCATGAGTGGTGGGGGGACAGAGGGAGAGGGAGAAGCTGACTGCCCCCCTGAGCAGGGACCCTGAAGCAGGGCTTGATGATCCCAGGACATGGGGATCATGACCTGAGCTTAAGATAGATACTTAACCAACTGAGCCACCCAGGCGCTCCTCTATTATTTTTTTTAACTTTCTTGTATATCTAAAAATATATTACTTATTAAAAATACAGTGTTGGATACCATGGCCATTAATAATAGTAGCTAACATGGCACTACTATATGCTAGGTATTGTTTTAAGTTCTTCACATATATTAACTTACTCCCTCCTCACCAGAGAAACAACTCTGTATGGTAAGTGTTATTCACATCTGCATTTTATAGAAGAAGAAATTTCAGCACAGAGGGATTAAGCTAGTAAATGGCAGAACTAGAATTTTTATCTTGTGATCTGGTTCCGGGATTCAGGCTTCTAACCACCATGTAATACTTCCTCAGGTTAGCAGCAGGAAATGCTGCTTTCTAATACCAACTGCCAGACCAGAACAATTATGCTTCAGTAGATGCCAGCATAAATTGAAGGATGCAGGGTGAAAAGAGAATTACACAAAACAAGAGCCCAAAATATCAAAGGAAGGCATCTGGACCACACATTTCTAATACCAGACATCACATAAGTCACCCAGAAATTTTGTTCCCTATTGCCAAGGGATAAGGGCAGGAATAGGGGAAAGAAATACTAAATATTTATTCTTAAAGAAGCTGAGTTAATTGAAAAATCATTAAATTTTTTCCCCCAGAGCAATTGTTACCCTTAAAAATGTGTCTGTATTTTTGCTAAGGGAGGACTTTTACCCTAGTTGTGTTACAGAAAATAAAGTTTTATTTTTGCAATGCATGATCATGTATGAATTTCAAATCTGCTGCAAATGCACATCTTGTTGAAAACTAGTGTTTTCCGGGGCGCCTGGGTGGCTCAGTTGGTTAAGCGACTGCCTTCGGCTCGGGTCATGATCCTGGGGTCCCGGGATCGGGTCCCGCATCGGACTCCCTGCTTAGCGGGGAGTCTGCTTCTCCCTCTGACCCTCCCCCCTCTCATGCTCTCTATCTCATTCTCTCTCTCAAATAAATAAATAAATCTTTAAAACAAACAAACAAAAACTAGTGTTTTCCCACTCTTAGGTAAAGCTCGAGTTCTTTCAACAGCCGGGAGGACCTTCTTCATAGCTCTCTAGCCTCCTGCTATCTCCTCTTTGCTCTCCTTGCCCCAGTCATTTCTATAAAAATTTTTTAATGTAAAGTTTTGATTGAATTTGCAGCAGTTTCTTAAAAGAAATATCCCCTCTCCAATAGTGTGTTAATGGTGGGGTGGGGATGGCAGTCTGTGAGTCTGCACCCAGAGAGGGAGAAGTTGTGTATGTGTGATTTTATTTTTCCACTGAAAAAAGCTTGATTGTTTCCATTTGGCCCACCGCTCCGGAGAGGGTGCAGGGTGGTCAGACAGCTGCCCAGTGCGGGCAGGAGAGGCCCCGGCAGAAGCCCTGGCTGGGGGTGGGGGTGGGGGTGGGAGTGGGCAGCGGGACCCCTCAGAGGCTGCTGGGCTCCGGGGCCCCTAGCCAGTGCTCGAGGGTGGGCCTCTGGAGGGGAACTCGCCGGCGCAGGCTGCAGAGGTGAGTCAGGGGCTGGGCGTCTTCCTGATGGGTGTCACTTGCTCGTGCCGGAAGTGGCCGTCCGGAAGTCAGCGGCACCGGGCCCGCAGGTCCAGAGGGTCTGGTTCGGTTCGGCCCCGGGGCTGCGGCGGCTCCGGGGCTGCGGGGTGTGACCCACGCCCTGGGGAGCCACCTCGCCGCCGCTGAGTGGAAGCCCCGAGAGAGGTGGGTGCGAGGCCCGCAGGCGGCGGAGTCCTTCGGGTGAAGCCGGGAGCTCATGGTCCGAGGTGACGAGGAGGAAGCTCAAGATGCTCTGCTGGCTGCTCGCGGGGGCAGAGGATCGCAGAGAAGATGGTTCTGGAGGCTGCGCCTGCAGAAGAGGTTAGAGGCTGGGGGGAGGTGGGAAGAAGGGGCGTCCCTGGGTCAGTGCCGTCCAAACTCTGGGGAAGCCCCGGACAGGTCCGTGGGTCTGCTGGGTGATTTAATAAACTTTATTATTTAGAACAGTTTTAGATTTACAGAAAAATTATGAAGAAAGTAGAGAATTCCCATACACTCTACACCCAGCTTTCCCTATTATTGGCATCTTACACTGTATGGTACTTTTGTTATAATTAATGAACCAACATTGATACTTTAAAAAAATGTTATTTTATATCCCTGCATATCTTCTAAGTTTTCTTTCTATGCAATCCTCTCCTTGGTACTCTGTCTAGCCGACTTTAGCCACTTCATTTTTCATACCACTCCTTTCCATCTCCTCAACCCAGAGAGTCCAACAGGCTCTGCAGAGGAGACCTGATAACTTCCAGGGAAACAAGCTGGGACAGTTGTGGAGAATACGTTTTCTGTTGACCGTCTTTCAGGGTTACTGTCCTTTGCAACCTGATGTCTACTGTCTTGATAACCATTGTTTCATTTGTTTGTAGTCTTTGGTTGTTCAGGCAGGAGAGTAAATTGGTCTCTGTTATACTACACTGACTAGAAGTGGTATTTCCTTCCCCCCGCCCCCCATCATTTTAAACATTGTAAGCATAGTTTTATGGTCTGTGTCGACTCATTCTGTTAACTGAAATTTTGTGTGTCTTTTTTCTGGTCTGTTTTCCTGCTTGTTCTCGCCCTTGGTCCTTTGTTTATGTGCATGGTTATTCTGGTCACCATAATGTGATGTCTCCCGCCATCGGTTGGGGGCCCCCAAATGTAGGGCAGCCCAATAGGGTGGAAGCCAGTGGCTCAGGATTCACTTGAGGCAGAGCAAAGGAGATAGAAATTCATTGGATACACTTCAAGGGACCGGGGGGGAAGGACAGCAAAAGAGAGACTGTCTGCAAGGAGGCAGTGGGTGGGGGCTGTTTTAAAAGGGGGAAGGTGAGGAGGTATGGGGAGTATGGAATTTTCCCTTTTTAGTAACTGTGCCTGGTTGTAGTAGCCCAGTGGTCCATTAGGGCCTGTGGATACTTCACCTCAAAGTATCACCTGATGGTCACCCAGGGCCCTTTTGCCTTGATCAAGTTTCCATTGCTCATTCTATTTGTTGCCTAAAAACGGCCTTTACACATACTTTAACAATTATTTTTAGCAATACCTTTAGGCTGGGGTGGAGTCACATTCATCGAGAAGATTTCCATTTGCCTCTGCCACACGGAGTATTTGGGGGATCATTTGGGGTATTCTCAGTTGAGGACAACTTTAAATTTTAAGGCTTGTGATTCCCTACATATCAGGCCAGTAGAATGTAAGGTGAAATTCTGTGTGAGGGCTGGGCCACATCCTACACCCTGGGATGGGTGGGTCCTTTTGGGGTATCAGCTTATCTTGATACATTATTATTAGTTGAAGTGCATGCTTATTCAGATTTCTTAGTTTTTACCTAATATAATTCTGCTCCAGGACCCTATCCACAGCACATTACATTTAAGCATGGTGTCTCCTTAGGCTCTTCTTGGATGTGATGGTTTCTCAGACTTTCCATTTTTTGGTAACTGTGGCAGTTTTGAGGAGTACTGGCCAGATATCATGTAGGATATTCCTTAATTGGAATTTGTCTGATGTTTTTCTCATGATTAGGTTGAGCTTGTAGATTTTGGGGAGCAAAATCACAGAGAGAAATTACCTTTTTCATTACATTATATTAAAAATACTTTCTAGGGGTGCCTGAGTGGCTCAGTTGGTTGAGCGTCTGACTTGTGATTTCAGCTCAGATCATGATCTCATGGGTTATGGGATGGGGTCCTGCCTTAGGCTCCGCACTCAGTGGGGAGTCGCTTGAGTTTCTCTCCCTCTGCCCCTCCCCCCACCTCTCTTCCTCTCTCTCCCCCCCACCCCCAAATAAATAAATAGATCTTTTTAAAAAATACTTTCTAGCAACCTTGATCACCTGGCTGAGATGGTCTTTGTCAGGTTTCTCCATTGTAAGTTTCTTCCTCTCATCACCCCTCTTTCCATACTACAGTCTTTGGAAAGAAGTCACTCTACAGAGCTCATACTTAAGAGTAGGGATTTCTGCCTCACTTCCATGAAGGCAGAGTATCTACATAAATTATTTGGAATTCTTCTACATAGGAAATTTTCTCCTCTCCACCATCTACTTATTTATTCAGTCAGTCATTTTTTTTATATCCATTTGGGTCATGGATATTTATTTTATACTTTGGGTTATAATCCAATACTACTTTATGTTTTTGCTTAAATTGTATCAGCTTTGGTCATTGGGAGCTCTTTTAACTGGCTCCTGTGTCCCTCTGACATACCTCATCATTGTGATTTTTGTTTGTTTTTAGTACTTCTTTTCTGGCACTGAAAGATAGGCCAGATTCATCTTGGATATTTCCTGCCCCAGTTCTAGATTCAGCTGTCTCTCCAAGGCACGCTGGTTCCTTTTATTAGAGAATAGTATTAAGATCCAAGATCCGAATGCTGGATGAACTTTTTGATAGGGGTGTCATTACTCAGCTGACAGATCAAGTGTATGTATATATACTAACCAGTGTATATACATATATCTATAACTATTTCTGTATGTAACTATCTTTATTCATTAAGCTAAACAGAAGTTCATACTCTCTCCAGCTCTAAGCCATTACCACATAGATCTTTCTAGCCTCCCCCCCTTGCTTATTTGTAAACTCCCATTTCAACAGTGAGAAAACTGGCTTTCCCCCCACACACATACCATCCATTTACTTCAATTCCAATGCATTGATTCTAGTATATAAGTATAGCAGTATCAAAAATTAACCCCCCCATACTTACCTGGCAGGGGAAATGCCATGATCACAAAAGCGGTTTTCCCAGGGTGAGGCTTATCCGTTGCACTCAGGATGTGCTGACCCCAGTGATTTCTCCAAATGTGGGAAACTCAACTGCATAATTTGTGGTAGTGGGGGACTGTTTGTGTTCTCCCCTGGGGAAAAAAATTAACCCCCAGTGTGGGAATTAATATTATCAATTACAGTATGGTGCTGTGGATAGTTTCTTTTGACTATAATCTTACAGGCTACTCATTTCCAAAGTTACTTAGATGAACACCATTTTCTCCTATTAGTGAGGTTGTTTTGCTAACTCATAATACAGTTAGATTATTTTGTCATAATCTGGGGTGCCTGGGTGGCTCGGTTGGTTGAGTGTCCGACTCTTGATTTCAGCTCAGGTTATGATCTCAGGGTCATGATTTCAGGGTCGTGAGATCAAGCCCTGTGTCCGGCTCCATGCTGGGCATGGAGCCTGCTTAGGATTTTCTCTCTCCCTCACCCCTCTCACCACCTGCATGTGTATGCGAGCGTGCTCTCTCTCTCAAAAAAACAAAACAAAACCAAAAAAACTGCATTTTATTCTAGGATCTCTCCCCCTTCTAAGTGATTTTCCTTTAAATTTTCATACATTGAGATTCACTCTTGGGCGCCTGGGTGGCTCAGATGGTTAAGCGTCTGCCTTCGGCTCAGGTCATGATCTCAGGGTCCTGGGATCGAGTCCCGCATCGGGCTCCCT